CATGCTGCACCTGATTTGGAAGATTGGCCACTATGGTTACTGATTCGATTTGGTGCACTAGATGCATCATTCGGAGTCGATTGCAGCAGAACATCAGGAATCACAATATTAATCGATCCCAGGGTTAGCCTCATGAATTTGAGCCAAAACTGCAGTGGTAACACTTGATATGAATTCCTCTGGGAATATGAAATCGGGCTTATTCGCTTTCTTCTTCAAATCTGTCTTTTTCACACCCGATCCATACAGATGCACACGACTTTTGCGTTTAGCAGTAGGAATCACTTCGTATTAAGGGTTGTTGCAGTTATTACCATCTTCATGTTGGGAAGACTCCACAGCATCCATTTTGGCCTATTAGGTAAATACAGTAATTTATTAGCAATTATAGAATAAAATACACACAAATACAAATTATATCTAAGATGCTAACTCACAATGTTCTCCTTTGCTTTTTCACAACTAGTTTTGTATGTCCTTCCAAAACTTCTTTTTCTCGATTCCTTATAAACCTTTGCTTGGGAAGGCTCCTGCTTATCTGGATCTTGTTGCCGCTATAAATGTTAAATAAAAAGGGTAAAGCCTCATATATATAGGACAAGTGATGAATATGAAATTGATCATGTAATTGTCTATAATTAGATTAAAGTATTACCAATTCATGGCGTAAAATGGCAAATGACTTACAACCCAAAGTGTGCATATCATCTAACATTAGATGATTGTCTTTGTTGCTGTGACTAATTTTCTATAAAATATTACAATCCAATAATAAATCAATTAAATATATATATGTGATTAAAATATAATAGATTAAAATCCATTTATACAATACCTTAGCCTCATCGGTATTCCAATATAGCAAAAGATCTCTAAACTAAAGATTTGAAATTGTATCAGGCTTATTTTTCCACCTTAAAGCGTCATTATCATATGCATAGAAGTGTTTTTTCTTGATCTGGCATTTATGATACCTCCAACAGTTATTCACATCATCCATCACCCAACTTATTCCACCATCAGGAACAATATACTTTTCCTGCACAAATTCTTACGTTAATACATTAGTAACGTGTGGAGGTCTAAGTATGAGGAAAGTAGAATAAAGTAATGCAAAAAGATAATATCACTACATACTTGGACGTAATTCCATATCTTGTCAAGTGTGGGTAGGCTTGGGAAGTTAAAATAGTTAAGCGGAGCCAGTTCGGAATCCCTTGCCACGGTTCCCAAAACAAACTTGAACTACTGGACAATCTCCTTTGTAGGTCCAACTGCTGACCCAATGAGTTCAAAACAATCACTTGACGCTCTTCTGTTGTACACGCATGGTCCTTACGTAGCATTGTTGGACCTCGATGATTTTTCCTTTTAGAAGATAATTCATTTTCTGTTTCTGTATGCAATAATACAGGAAAAACCGTTTGCAAAAATATAGGAAAAACTAGATTAGTAATATAAAATCAGAAGTCACTGGCACTGTTATCCATTCAATCCTACTGTAAGATTTTATGATTGTTTCTGCTACTTTTCAGCCCCACTAACTCATTTGGAGTATAAAATTCGAATTTTACAGCCACTTTAACTTATCAGAACTTTACAGCTAATTTATTCGTATTAATTATAAAAAACAAGCCACAACCCAAAATTTTATTTTACGTAGTATTTTTTTTTTCTAACAGCTATTGTATTGAATACAGTATGAGTATTGAAGTTGTGTATAAATTTCAGCAAAAATGACAAATATTGAAAACCATACCTTCCATTCCGTACTGTGCTACATCTTGCTGGTCAAATTCTTGATCGCCTTCACGATCAATATCAATAGCATCTGCATTCTCATTCAGCCCATCATCATCATCATCCTCATATATGGCATCATTATCGTTATTCGCATTCAATACTGCCGTTGGATTAGCTGGCCTAATGCAACGGTTTTTTAAAACCGTTGTATTAGCCCAGTTTTTGATATAATTAACATGATGTCGTTGTATTAGCCTTGTCTAATACAACGGTAATAGAAGAGTCGTTGTATTAGCTCTGTCTTCACCGTTACATTAGATAAAAAATGTAGTAGTGGGTGGTCGGTGGAAGTGAATGTGGCGCATTGAATTTGGTGGTCGGATAGGAGATTTGACTGGTTAAAGAAGGAAATGAACAAAGAAAGAGGAAATATAACTGGTTGAATTGAGAGTTTAATAAATAAGGTGAATTGAATGAATTTTAGTTTTTGGGTAATTTAAATTAAATGGGGGGGGGGGGAAGAATCATTAGCTAAATTGAGTTAGGTTAATATAACTTATGATTTAATATTAATGAGATGAAGAGAGCATTTCATTATACAAAATGATAGCTTGTTTCAAGAGCTTTCCAACAATCAGTCATATATATGTATATATGTCTAATTCCAATAAGAAACGAAAAAGATATATATGACGACCTTTTTACGAAGAGTTGTTCAAAGCTTAGTAATTATGCCATAAAAGTTTGCATGAACCTTTTAGGATTTCACTTGTCGAAACTTTGCTTCCTTGGCCACGGTTTACGTTTTATCCCAATTTTGTTTTCTATTTTCTGGTATGCTTATGACGGCTATTAATGTTATTCCATGAGAAATAATTTAAGGTTTCTTTAGAGTTTCCTTAATTATTTTATATTAGGAACATTGGATGGACAATTAGAAGTGTGCTATATGATAAGCATAGTCAATTCAAGACAAGATATAACTCCCTTAAGATATTTCTGGGAGAAGAATAATATTGTACAGTATTTCCTTAGTTGTACCTTTACGACTTTACTCTATATTTTTACTTTCCATGCATCGCTCATAGGAAGTAATAGTATTCCTTGCCCTATGGAATAGGTCATATTGACCAAACCATGTATATGTGTTCATCTTCTTTATTTTTCCTCAAATTTATGCTTTATTTATATTTGATTGTCTATGTTTCACACAAATCAAACACGATACCTAAATCATATCAGCTTATAACTTCATACTCCGTAACAAATATCCCTCTTGCAACGGATGAAATCACTATTGCATACTCAAGGATGGTGTTAGCTAAGAAACGTTAGAAAAAGAAAATCCAAGATATAAGAAGTGATTGTAGATCCTCGAGGTTAAGCAAAGTAACACAAGTAATTCCCAAAAAAGTAAACACGAGTGTGGATTAAGACACAAATTGTTTATTTTAGAAAAAGGAAAAATACACATATTTTCTTTTAAAATGACAGAAAAAGAACACTAAGTTGGACGGTAAAATACAGTGTTGATAATGCAAGAGTATTTTATACTAGTTCTACGAAGCAGTAGACAGTCTGTCTTTGTCAATTAGTAGAATCGTCGGTGTCATCCACCTACTCTTTTTCAACATCACCAATACTCTGATCTACCATCACCACCGTCAATGTAACACTTGAATTTCTTAATAAAATGGTAAAATTAGCACATTAGTCTAAAATAGGAAGTTAATCCATACTCCGTATTAAAAATTTATTTACTCTTTTTATAATGTTAAAAGTTTTAGATCAAATGTGAATTTTTGTTAGTTTTGATAATTAGTTTTATTTCTTTTCTTTGTATCAATTTTTGTTAGCTTTGATTACTAGTGTTTAATTATTTTAGTTTATTAAAGTTTTTGCAAATTTGCTATCAAAATTCTAAGATCACAGATATAGTGTACCATCATACGTAATACTATAAAGTATATACATTTTTTTTTTCCAAAGAATGTATTATATTATCTCGTTACATTACGACGGAGTATAATTTTTTCGATGCATACAAAAAAAAAATGGTACTAAATACACTATTAGTGACACTTAAATGAATTTCAATAGTATTTTATAAGCTTAATTAGTGATACAATTAAAGTCGAGTCCCCATTACTTTTTCTCTATCTATTCACGTGAACGACAGTCTAACGGAAAATAGGTGGGATCCACACCACCTATCTCTCTCTTTCTTATACTTTTACTACTTTTTAATACATAGTATATGATATGCATTTGTAAGTGCATAGCATATACTTCGTATGAATTAGTACTTCATCGAGTAAAGGGTAACTTAGAGCAGTAGAACATTAGTAGGAAGTTGTTAATCTCTCTCATATTTCACATCATCATCAACTCCCATTAAGAATCACCCTTTCTATATTCATAGAAATGCGTTATTTCTTGAGTCATCTCTCTTGATCTCTCCCCTCTTCCTCTATATATCTTAAAATTTAATTTGAAGCAAATGGATACAAGTGAGGCATATATGAATTTTGGGATGACACATTACTAGCTCTTTAGCAAAAGATACTATCTCTGATTTTAGAAGCTCCATTTACAAACTCCAAATTAGACACTCACACTTTTTACATAAGAGCTAGCTCTTAGAATTTTTCCCTCAAATTAATTACCCCCCAATATTGATGCTTTTACTATTGTGATGAATTGCTTTTTGTCGCCAAACGCTACATGTAATAATTGAAATGCCTTTGAATTAAATTTTGTTTACTTGAATAGCTCATTCCATTCTATTCCCCTTTCCATTCTTACTTGCTATCACTACCCAAGCCACCAGTACCATTGAAACCACCACCACCTCCTTCTAACACCCAAGCCACCAATATAAAAACCATCACCACCGCCAACACCTTCTACGACTACCTTAATTTACAACCCAATCCAATTTTCCGATTTTACCGAGATGACGACAATTCAAATACAATGTGTCTCTATACATAGCATGACGCAATACACGACATGGCCCACAACCATCTCTACTTGAAGAAGGTAAAATTTGTATAACAAGCAAAAACAATCTTAGCTCTTAACAACCTAACATTATTATAATTCCTAATGTAATATGATTATAACGACTTACCTAATTTCTAAAAATCAACAAATACAAGCACATATTTACCCTCCATCAAAATTAAAAAAAAAAAAAAAAAAAAAAAAAAAAAAAAAAAAAGAGAGAGAATGTGATTCGAAGTGTCCAACCCACATGTTACACTATTGATTGATTAATAAATACTTGTATTCTAAATTTTCTAATTTCCCCTCTTTTACCAATCACTCCACTTGTAGACTATCTTGGCACCCACCCATCTCCATCACTCCACCGGCTCTCTCTCTCCTCATTCTCTCACTACCGACACTCCCATTTCACCCTCTTCATTCATTTTCATTCATCATCAACTACCTTCACAATCCCTCCTTCCTCAGATCTCCCCTCCTCCGCCTCTCCGTCTTCGTGCCGAAGACGTAGCACATACCACGACAAATCCACCCCGTATTCATCTATTCAATCTTATCCATCAAAAACCAGCTCGCCGAAACACGCATTCGAAGACATCACCAGCAATGTCTATGTACGGGAGGGATCCGTGGGGTGGACCATTAGAAATAGCAGCAGATTCGGCGACTGATGATGATCGAAGCCGGAACTTACAAGACTACGACAAAGGTGCGTTATCATCTCGGCAACTAGATGAAACACAGCAAAGTTGGTTGTTGGGTCCAACTGAACAAAAGAAGAAGAAAAAGTATGTGGATCTTGGGTGTATTATTGTTAGTCGTAAGATCTTTGTTTGGACTGTTGGTACTATCTTAGCTGCTGGTTTACTTGCTGGATTCATTGCTCTTATTGTTAAGCTTGCTCCTCGTCGTCATCATGCTGCTCCTCCTCCTGATAATTATACTCAAGCTCTTCATAAGGGTCTTATGTTCTTCAATGCGCAACGATGTATGATTTTTACCCTTTTTGTTTTTGGATTCAAATTTTGATTTGGATTGGTTGGTTTTGTTTTTTATTAGATTTGATTTGATTGGTTGATCGATTGATGTATCTTTCCTGATTTGGTATGGAATTTTAGCTGGATGATGAGTAATTTTCTTGATTTAATGTGGGGATTTTAGCATGATCTATATGGGAGGAGAGAGAATTTATGATTTTGATTAGGATTGATTATTGGGTATTGTAGTGATTGATTAGTAGGGAATCTGAGTGAATTGAGTTTGATGAAGTATATTATAAAGGATTGATCATTATAGTTCCTTGATTGTTAATGTAATTTTTTTGCAATTGGATTAAATAATGGCTATGATTGGTTAATTTGAGTGATCTATTGTAGATCCTTTGGATATATGATAATTTTTCATGGGGAATTGAAAATCCTTTTATTGTTGTGATCATCTGATCAAAATTCGATTTTTGTTGATGTTTAAAGGAATATTCTGATGGCATTAATTTTGTGATTTGTATTTCAGCTGGGAAATTGCCGAAGCACAACAATGTTTCATGGAGGGGTAATTCATGTTTGAATGATGGGAAGGGTGATAGCGGCAGCACTTTCAAGGACCTTAAGGGTGGTTTCTATGATGCTGGGGATGCCATTAAGTTCCACTTCCCTAAATCTTTTGCTATGACCATGTTGAGTTGGAGTGTGATCGAATATAGCGCCAAGTATGAGGCTGCAGGAGAGCTCAATCATGTCAAGGAGATCATTAAGTGGGGGACTGATTACTTTCTCAAGACCTTTAATTCGTCAGCTGATTCAATCAGTATGCTTGTGTATCAGGTAGAATTATATCTATTTGTTGCTTATTTTCTATTTGCCATTTTGATATGCCTTAACTATTTTGCTTATACTGGAATCAAGGTTTCTTGTTCATAGTAGAGTCTGTGAAATATGAAATTAAGTCATGCTGAAATATATTATGACAGGTTGGGTCAGGTGATACCTCTGGTGGGAGCACGACTCCTAATGATCATTACTGCTGGATGCGTCCAGAGGACATTGATTATCCAAGACCAGTGAAAACATGTAGTAGTTGCTCGGACCTTGCTGCTGAGATGGCTGCTGCTTTGGCTTCAGCTTCTATTGTTTTCAAGGATAACAAGGCATACTCTCAGAAACTTGTGCATGGTGCAAAAACACTATACAAGTTTGCTAGAGACCAAAGAGGCAGATATAGTGAAGGCAATGAGGCTGCTACTTTCTACAATTCTACCATGTACTGGGATGAATTTGTATGGGGTGGAGCATGGTTATATTATGCCACTGGAAATAATTCTTATCTTACCATTGCAACTCATCCTAAAATGGCCAAGCATGCTGGCGCATTCTGGGGAGGCCCAGACTATGGTGTGCTAAGCTGGGACAATAAGCTTGCTGGAGCACAAGTAAGTTCATCAGATTGTTTCTTGTATTTTTTTTGTGATATACTGCTGCAAACTGAAGCTATTTAGGTTTAATGATATTAAAGGGCGCTGAGTTCTTCGGTTTTTTTTTTTTTTTAGTTTATTCTAACACTATAACAGTTTACCTTACGCATTAGGATGGTATTACTCCAAACAGATCAAACATATAGCCATTTAGTGATACTTTAGGTGCTAACTCACCACTTCTCACGTTCATTATTCAGATTTTCATTCAGGGAGTCCAAGATGCACTATTGTACGTATCAATCCAATTTTGATAGTTCAAAAATTACTTTTGTTAATCTCAGGCTAAGTGGCCGAAAATATGGTTGTCAAGTACAGCCTGTGTGCAACCATAATTTTGTCACCTTCAATTGCATTACATTTAACTTTGACTCTAAGTTGCATATAAGAATGCCTTTGGTCTTATTCTTTTGTAAATTTGAGTACTTCAAAGCGGATATCCTGGTCTTGTGGAGGTATCTTGCTCTAAAGAAATATAATTGCCAAAGTATGAGCCACTAACTGTTATTGGCTTATTAGCTACTTGTTATTTATTATTTGCTGCCTTACATTTGGGCCAAAATCATTTCATTGAGTTAAAATAATAATATGATTCCTGTGGTGATTAATTTATCAAGACTTAATTTACATAAGAAAAAATCATGTTAGGAATGAATCATATGGCTGTTGCAGAGAGTATGTATCTCACAAAGTAGCAATTTTCCTTTTTCAGGTGCTTCTTAGTCGTTTAAGATTGTTCCTGAGCCCTGGTTATCCTTATGAAGAAATACTCTCGGCGTTCCACAATCAGACTAACATAATTATGTGCTCCTATTTACCATATTTCAATAGCTTTAATAGAACAAAAGGTATACCATATTTCTCTGAATTTGAAATTTCAAGTTGTTCCCTGCATTTTGTTTTTCATGTATATTAAGTCCGATGTTCTTGCTCAAAACTTGTAGGGGGTTTGATTGAATTAACACATGGAAGACCTCAGCCTCTTCAGTATGTAGTAAATGCTGCATTCTTGGCTACCCTCTACAGTGATTATCTTGAAGCTTCTGATACACCTGGTTGGACATGTGGTCCTAATTTCTACTCAACGAATGTCTTGCGTACATTTGCACGCACACAGGTTCTTGCTTGTTTTTTTTTCAGTGTGTTGAATCCTCTGATACATACAAGAACTGCTACAAATGGATGAAATTTCAAATTCCCTTATCCATTTACATTCCATGTTCAGATTGATTACATTCTTGGCAAAAATCCTCGGAAAATGAGCTATCTGGTCGGCTTTGGTAACCACTATCCAAAGCACGTGCACCATAGAGGTGCATCTATACCAAAGAACAAAGTTAAGTACAGCTGCAAAGGTGGTTGGAAGTGGAGAGACACTAAGAAGGGAAACCCAAACACAATAGTAGGAGCCATGGTTGCAGGCCCTGACAGCCGTGACGGGTTCCGTGATGTCCGCACAAATTACAATTACACGGAGCCCACGCTTGCAGGAAATGCAGGTTTAGTTGCTGCTCTTGTTGCCCTTTCTGGTGAGAAGAGTGTTGGAATCGACAAAAACACTATGTTCTCTGCAGTACCTCCTTTGTTCCCTAATCCTCCTCCTCCTCCCGCGCCCTGGAAACCTTGAAGAGTCTACGTGGGCATTATTATGGAGTTGTATTGTTTCAGGTGCCTTTGCCCGTTGTAAGGTTGTGTTGTAGGGATCCCTTGGATCTAGAAGAGTACTGGAACGAGAATGCATTATTAAGGAAACGCCTGAAATGTAGATCCTTATGCTAAAGAGAAGAAATCGTACTTTAACTTGCTCGAAGATGTTGGTGAATGGTGACAGGGTGAACTAGGCTTTTTGGGAGGTTTTCTTTTTTTGTTGTTATACTTCCGTGTATATGTATGATATATTCGTTTAATATGTGTTCTTTTGATAACAAAATACTGAACAATGTGAAGCTGATAACATCTTCATAGCTGTCCATTGGAAGAAGTAATTCTTTTCCCCCTCTATTCAATTTGTAGCTTGTAATTATACTTTTGCCCAAGTATTTCATGAACTCGTAACACAATTGGTATGTACATCTGCAGTTTTGTGGCTGTTAATTGTTAAACAACTAGTTCATCCACAGTATACTTGGGTATGCAGTAGTGCAGTACTCTTTCCTAGTGGGATGAAAGATTGAACAAGTCTTAAAATTTATAGTGCAAACATACAATGCTTTCCAACGAAAAGGATGGCTGCTGCTTCCTCTTCTAATGAGCTGATTCAGGGGCAAGTTGAAGCAACGGCTTGTCTTCATGCCATCATATTGATTACTCGTAATGGCTATCAAGTAGTCTGTGTGGCCACCATATTCCACTCTTTCGGCCACTGGCAAGCTTGGCAGAATCTGATTAAAATGGCTGCTACAAAAGCTAGTGTAATACGGAGTACTATGTTAGTTTCCTTAGAAATATACAACCTTTTGCCCTTTTGTGTTCACTTAAAGCTTTATTATAGTATTTCGGCCTTACTCAATATTATCCTTTAGACATACAAAAGCTTTTGTGATGACCTTGTTAATAACGGACCAAAATGCGTTAAAATAAGGCCCCTATGTCAAGCAAACCTTTCATCAAGTCAAGTGTTGCCTCCATGCGCAACTTTCAAAATTGTCGTGGATCTCATGCACAACTTCGAAGGTCGCGTGTAGAAGATTTTTAAAATTATACGATAAAATTTATAGAATTTGGATAAAAATTAGGTAGGTGTTGTGCGCGACTCTTAGACGATCACGTGCACCTGCTAAGCATGATTATGGATCCACATGCGCTTTATAATTACACGTATTTCTAGTCTGCGACGGCCGAGTCATCTTTAAATCCTACTATTATTTATCAACATGTACGACCCTAAACTTAGTCGACAAGACAGACACGAAATAACCCAAGAAGCTTAAAGGAATTCTATTTCGCATCAAAACTTGATTGTCTTTGAAAAAATGGATATGGGCATCATTTGGGTCTTGCTGATTTTGGGCTTGATAAGCTTTGAGCTGAGTCTAGCCAAGCCAAGCTCGCCTTTAGGAACTCGTCGAGCTCGAGCCAAGCCTATCTAGTCACAGTCTAAGCTCAACTCGTTAACACCCCTAGATCTAACTAAGGAGAAGCGGTAAGTTCTCTGAGGGACTTAGATCAATCATATTTGCATGCTTAAAGTATTTAAAAATTGATTTTAGTGTTGTTTGATCACATCCTAAATTAGATTAATTAACTTATTCATTCCGAATTTATCGGGATCGCTTAACAAAAGGAAACGTCTACGAGCGACTCATGCGGCCCATGCGCTGGGCAAGCACAACCATTGTAATCGTGCGCGGAATTCAGTTTTAATCAATTTTTATTGTTTTTTCTCATGCTCTAATTAATTAAATAAGAATAATGACTAGATTATTTTCATAATTTTTTCGTTAATTAAATTAATCTGTTAGTGATTAGGTTTCGCATTGCATATTGTCTATTGATAAATTGTGAATGAGAAGAGCTAGTAGGGGACACTTTAGGGCCAAATCAACCACTTCGTATAAACGACTTTTTGACATCCTCGATCCCGAATCCAATTCTAATTTGGACTAACTTTTGATGGGCGATCCTTTCTAAGGATTAGAGGGAAAACCTGTAACACCCTATGAATTCATTTCCAGTAAAACACCTATTTTGCTCTTTTTAAAATACAAATTAGGAAATTCTAAGACATTACCGCCACCGTGGAAACGGCTAATGAAATTATCAAAGACTCACAGCGGAAGACTCACTTCAAAAATCGTTCAAAACAAGTTACCTTAAAAAGTCAAACCAAACGAAAGTAAAGTCAAACGAAGTCAATCTACAACTTGATCGAAACCATTGTAGGCCCTTATCAACCCAAAACGAATTTTAAAATCTTTTATGTTAGTCTCACAAGAAAAATATATGATAATCAAAACAATAACCACATCATATTCTTATAAAAACTAAGCATGATTCGCTCTTCACTCATGCCCATCATGAATATGCTTCATCACCTAAAAAGCTTTTCTTTACTTTGTCCCCACTACTCACCATTAGAAACGGGTCGTCGTAGGGCCAAGATAAAGACAACGCCAAACAAACATACAAACACACAATCAACAATGCTGAGTATATAAGCGTAAACAGTGCACACTAACATGCTTTCATCCTATCAACACACAACTTACCTTGTTGCACCTATTTACAAGCATACAACACAACCAACCAATACATAGCTAAATAAATTGCTTATTTAATTTGATTACACATCGAACGGGTTTCCCACCAAATCTCTGCCCCAAATAAATTGAGGTAAACTACACCGGGAGTTAATCAGGTAGGAAAATGCCACATGAAAGTGATTGGATATCCTGCGCATAAAACAAATAAAGAAAAATACAGCATTTTGTACTCCCAGTAGAAGTTATGGTCAAATATAAAGTCACATAACTCCCCCCATATGTTCATACTCGAGGTATATACATTCCAAGAGTTTTGGTGCGTAATCTCTTTCACTTTACGTGATTTACATATTTTTAGACTTGGTGATGACTCTCAAACCATAATACAATTAATCATAATAAATCATTCAAGCAATCAAACACACCAATTTAATTATTGAATAATTAGTGACCACATAAATTTAATGTTGAACCCTTTTTAAACTACCCATCGAAAATCCTATCCCTCGGTGTTTAGAACAATTTAAGTGCAATTAGGTACCGCAATACATTTTATTCCTGTGTACTAAGACACTCAATAGCTCAACTCCCATGCTTAAAGCATCAATAAAAATTATATGAACCATAACAAAATTCCTTTTTTATATTCTAAACCAAATTGAACATTTAGTTTAATTAAACATGCTCTCAAACATGCCAATAATAAAAGTGTGGTTCATATTCAACATGCCAACATAATTAATTTCAATCATCAATTCACCACAAATAATTCATACTTCACAAATCAATCACCAACATCAATCTAATCAACAATCCCAACCAATATCTATCATGATACTACCTTGGAATTAATTAAAGAAGGTCTAGCATGCTTCTATACACTTAAATAATTACCGAGTACGCGAACATACCTCGAATATGATCTCAATATCGTCACGACTACACAATCACTCACTTGGAAATCTCCTATAATAACCCCAAATTACAAAGAGATATTAATACCTATTCAATATAAATTTCCAACAATATATACACTCTTTAAATCACTTATAAACCCTCTAAAACAAGCTGAAAATTAATTTAAAACCCCTACTTTTATTCCCAATTAATGGGTAATTAAAAATCCTTTCAAGAAACATAATACTAACCTTTATATAAATATTCCAGCTTTATAAAAACATGTAAAATTGTTGTAATTATGTTTAAAAACACCTATTTCAATAATTCTAACCAACTACAACCAATTTCCATAAATATACATTAATTTTGTTTTTTGAACACCAATATACATTAATTTAGAAACCTAAGGTTTTCAATTTGGGGCTTTTAAATTCAAAAACCAAATCTAAAATTTATATACATAATAATCATAATCAAACATCATAAAAATCATCATAACATCCAAAAACAGTAATTAAATCAAGGCTAGATTAGGATTAAAACAAAAAGAATTTTTGTTAAAAGTCGCACAGCCACACGACGGGGAGGGGACTGTTGCTGCCCTCCACACCGGCAGCTGCTGGCGGCGATGGCCGGCCGATAGGAGGTGGTGGTGGCGCCGGCCACCTTGTGTGTGCGTGTGGGTGTGTAAAAATAAAGGAGAGGGGGAAAAATTAAGGGAGAGAAAATAAGAGGAGAGAGAGTTTACCTTTAAGTATTCTCCACCTTGGGTAAACCTGGGCACCGTGCCGGGCCCTGCCGCCGCGGGCCGTGCCTGGCGGGCCACGGGCTGGTTCGTGTCGTGCCCGTCGTGCCGGCAGGCCCAGGATTTCGTGCTGTGTCGTGCCGGCCATTTTCACAGGCCAGCCCACGGCACGGCACGGCCCTCGTGCCTGGCGGGCTCGTGCCGTGCCGGCCACGTGCCGGCCTGCGGGCTGGTGCGGGCTTCAAATTTATTTTTTTTTTATTTATTTTATTTTTTTTTATGACAACATTATAAATTAATAAGTTTATAATGTATATAAGTTATAAAATTATAATTATAAGTTTTATAAGGTTATAACTTATAAGTTTATAACTTATAAGTTATAAGTTTATAACTTATAAGTTATAAGTTATTAAGTTATGAATTTTATAATTATAAGTTGAATATTTATGTTTTATAATTTGTATATTCAATATTTATATTTATATATTTACTTTATACTATTACTTTAAAATTTAATGTTTATGATTTATTAGTAATTGGTATAGTTTTATTTTTTTTTAATATAAATTTACAAATTGTAACAAAACGGGGAAAAAAGGCAAATTGGACTTTGGACGTGAATAATGCGTACTTTATATTATTATTACTTGAGTTGAGAAAATTGTACAATGATAACAATGATAAAAATCATACAATGATGGTATTAAACAAAAATTGGAAAATGATAAAATTGATATTTTTAAAATCGTACAATATACAATAATTGTCTATTCTTCTTCTCCTTCTTCTTGCTCGTCTTCGTCTTCGTCTTCGTCTTCGCCTTCGCCTTCAAGGTCATCGGCTAGTTGCATAGATTGGGAACTAGCCAAACCCGAACCGGAAGCGGAGGTTCCTTCTTCGTTGTCGTTGTGGTCGTAAGAACGGTCTTGTGAGCGATTTTCCGCATCCAACCAATCTTTGAAACACACGCACATTTCTAGTGTTTCGGGTTTTAGACTTGTTCTTCTATCGTCTAAAACCCTTCCGGATGCGCTGAAAGCTCGTTCGGAGGCGACGGAGGAAACTTGGATAGCAAGAATGTCTCGTGCCATTGCCGCCAAAGTTGGATGCTTCGAGCTTTGTTGTTTCCACCATGCAAGGAGGTCGAGGTTGTTTATCTCATCGTCGTCCATGCCTTTGGTGAAGTCGTAACTCAAGTACATCTGCAACTCCGAGACGTC